GGATAAACTGCCTCCATCTTGCTCTTGTTGTGCATCATCTAAAAGCAAGACAAATGCCATATCTATCCATATCTGAGCCTGAAACCTGGCTGTAAAAGATCCAGATAACCTATCTCATCCAGGAATCTCTGTAGCTGCAGCGTGATTACCTTCTGAACATGCCATGAGTTTTTATGGGTAAGAGGGAACTTGAAACTCCCCAGACCTGATCCAACATCTTTGCACTATACCACACTAGCTATGTGTAGAGAGATTAAAGAAGATGATCTTTGCAGAGATATGCAGACTCGGTCGCCGAGGCAGCAGGATGTAAAACCATTTTAAAAGACCAAAATGTCCAGATAATATTGAGAAGAGGTTCAAACAGACATGTCCCTAATTCACTGAAATATAAGAAGGAGGAGGTATAGCACAGTCAGTCTTTCAAGATTCTGTTGTCCTAGCCACTCTGTCCTACGATGAAAGAAACGAAAGGGACAAAAAGCACCATGCGACTTCTGTTGCAGAATGTATAGATCCCTAGAATACCTGTAATCTAGTTCGCCCTATAAAGAAAAATGGCATTTCAAACTAGGAAGAGCCTGTGTGTCCTCCGTACACAGACACATTGCAACAGACAAACCACAGGGTGCACTTAGAAGGGATCAAAATATTTTAAACATGTCAGATTTTTACTTATAAGATTGTACAGGATGTGTGCACAATCCAAGTGCCATTCGTTTATTTATTTAGATAGCTATTACCCAGCCTTTTCATCACATTCTCAATTGCTTGTAATTAAGCTCTGAAGATGAACAAATATGTAAAATCTTACTTTAATTGTTTACATGGCAGAAGGGGTATGAATGAGGCTCCTGACTGAACCAATATATTCAGCTTCAATCTGCATTCTTCTGCATGTCAAATTAAACAGTTTGTCTTTCCAATAATAACAAGATATCACCAACCTATTTTTGAGAGACCTTAAAAGCCTATTTCTGCAATTACCAGTATGGTTGCAAAGATGAATAATAGACTTTATCCAAGGTACTATATTTTATTTCATAAAGCTGATGAAGCATTGGGACTAAATAATAGGTCTGTAGGGCAGGGATGGAGATAATTTGATTTTTGAAGGCCAATTCAGTCTATGTTCACCTCCCAAAAACCAAACTGAACCCTGTGGATATTTGTATATTAGTAGAAGAATAGATTTATGTATATGTAGGAGAATGAAGTAGAGCATGGCCAAAAGAAACATTAATATGTATGCACTTTTTTGCCTTCTATTCTAAATAATGCTCAATGAAAAAAATTAAACAATTTTAAATTTAAATGCCAAACCATGTTATCTTTTTGCAGCTAGCAGAATTGCATAGCCGAAGGCTATACTCTCAGAAAGGCTACATCTTGCATCCTTTTGAATTTTCATGAACTGCTTTTTGATTGGATGCAATTTAATAGGAATGCAGAATATTGTACCGTCAAAAGGATTTTGGTGTCGCTGCACAATCCATTGTATGTGTTACCATTATGCCTTAGTAAGCTTATAATTAACTAATAACCTTTATCTAAAGAGAGTTTGTATGCATATGAAAAAGTAAATTTCAGGACCCCTACTGTTTCACGAGATGATATTTTGTATGAACTCATTAATTTGAGAATACTGGTTCTCAAATATATTCTATTTAAAACTCAAGGCCAATATGTTCATATTTTTTGCATATCAGCATCAACCCTACACAAAATAATGAATAAATCATACAGCATCATATAGCAAAACAATTTAAATATTTGGGTGGGTAGGATGATTTAGCTCATGAGGGCAATTTAAGATTTCACTGGACTTTTTATGTGCTTTTGGATAAACTGCTATGCAAAAATGTTTCTGCTTTAATCAGTAATTACTTTTGATAAGTTATGATGAGTGTGAAACTCTTGTTGTTCCAAGGGCCGGTTCCCTGATATGTAGGTTCTGAGGTTTTGCTTGGTAAAGAAATACAGGAAACCAGAAGATGCCTTTAAGTTTTACGTTTTTATTCAGCTGAATAGAGACGGACTCCTCTAAATGAAGGGAGCCACGAATGACAAGAAATCCTTGTACTTATTCTGTATAATTACATAAGCAACCCATCCAGCAAAGATGACACACATAAGATAAAGATTTCACCCAGTAAGTCTGGCACACTGTAGATAAGAAGGGAGAAAGCAGAAGTAGCTAAACATGTTCCCATTCGGGTGTATCCCTAAAGATATAATATGTTCTTGGGTGGGTTAGGACATTGGGTGTTGTCCTTGCTGTCCTTTCATGACCCTGCATCCAGGACTACAAGTGACCAGAGACAGAGGGTCCATCTGTATATTGATGCTGTCCCATAAGTCCTGGTCAGCATCCCTTCAAAATAAATCTGAAAGCTACTGGACTTAAACTTGAGTCAAAAGTGAGACTCTGGAGGAGGTCTGAATCACTTGTTTATAGGGCAGGGTTTTTTGAAATAACATCAAGGCCCAAAAGTTCTTTTAGGATTATAGCATAGAACTTTATACGGAAAATCTGGAAGAAAAAAATTTTCACATATGGAAAGGTATAACTGGACATGCCTCCCTTTGAGAAAAGACTTGGCAGTATGTGTCCTTTATGAAAATCGCTCTTATGAGAACTATGTAGTTTCAGAGCTATATTGGAACAGGAAGAGTCCACACCAAGAATATATAGCTTCAATCAGCTTAAGTTCCACCCCAGTCTTTGCATAGCACATCAGATCCTGCTCTTCAAAATCAGACAAGGCCATGATCTGATAAAAGATGGTTTATAAGCATCTGCAAATTCACTGTGCAAGATTTTTTGAGGCCATTTTCCTCTAGATACCAGTGAGCCTTGTGCAGTACCTTGAAAATATCTTCCCTCCCCCCATTCCTTGGACTATCCTATGGTTTCCCTCAAACAGTTGGGATCTTCTGATGATTCTTGAAGAAATTTCATAAAGGCAAAAGCAATTGCTACAACACTATTAACATTAATGCTGCATTCTATGCACCTTCAGTCAAGTAAGCAGAAAAAAAAATATTAGATCCACCCTAAAGTTGTGTTTTTTTCATAAATCAGAATTTTTTAACAGTTTATTAAGTTTCAAATTGTTGGTCACCTTGAATGTCCTATAGCTAGAAATAACGGAGACAACAATAATGGTTACTGGAAATAAAGTAATGAAATTCCTTTGCATTTTTTTCCTTATTTATACTTTTTTGTTCCAATTTGAAATTCTAAGGCAGTTTTTCACTCTGAACATATAGCTATAGGCTTCAGTCTCCAATTTATGTAAAACACTAATTCTGAGAACCTTTGATTCATTGTTGATTTTTCTAATGCACAAATTTCTTGCTGACTGGCTCTGTATGATATTGTTGTGTGCATATTGTTCAACATGATTTTATCCCATGTTTTACTCATTTTTAGAGAATAGCTAACATTATCTTTTACACAGATATGTGTACCATTATTCAAAGCATCTATTCTGGCTAAGATTTGGCTTATGCATAACATCAAGGTAACTGTTTTTGCACCCATGCTCTGTTCTTCAGAGAAACATACTGTAGCTCTATATTTTCATCCTTAAAAAATAGAACAAGTTTTTGTTCAATTTTTATTATTTAATTAACTACAGGACCCCCTTCCTTTATGACAGATTGGTCTTCATATTTTGATACAAAATCCTTGTGTGTCAAATGTTCTGAGGTGAGCATGGGGTTCACATAGGTGAGCACAGGGCTCACATAGCTCTGGGATGTGATTGACACGTCAGGAGGACATATTTATCATTTAGTTAAAATATTTTAATCCATTTTTGTATTATAAAAATACTAAATTGGGCTATTTTGCTGCCTGGTGTTTTTCTGTAACATCAGACCTGTCATCTAGCGTTCAACTGATGGTTATTAGATGAGTATTAGACTCTTAAGTGTCTCTATTCTGTTGACCTGGACTTAAGGGACAGTATCAATTGTGAATACGTGCAAATGGCCCCGCTATCTCTGGCCACTTGCAGAACCATAAATGCAAGGTCATAAAAGGACAGCAAAGGAAACACCCAATATCCTAACCCACCCGGGAACATATGGTGTCTTAAGGAAACACCTAAACCACCCAAAAGTGTTTTCCAAACATGTGAATAAGCAAAATCAGGAATATCAGAATGGACGGAACGGCTTCCATAAAAGCTACAATTTGTGAGGCAACTTTAAACTATAAATTAAATTAATTAAATTAAATCTCACTAAAGCCCTATGTGGAAGATAGTTATACTCTGTCCTTAAACCTAACAAGACTCTGATTCAGTGTGGCTTTCTGAAGGTTGTCTATTCAAACAAATGGAGAAACCAAATAGTAGAGAAGATGATTGTGGCTATCTTTCACTCATGTATATTTTGGATTGTTAAACCAGGAGATGATTGACAACCAACATTCTTTTCTAAAAAATGTATATTTATTATAAAATTTATCCTTTTATTATGTATATGAAGACATACTCTCTTTACAAATATTATATCCTTGCAAGAAAAATATGTAGGAACTGGTACTTTGGCTACTCATTTTCATTATGCTTAAATCATTTTGCTGCCAATTCATTAAAAATGTGAGGCTGAATAGCTCATATAAATTCACATTTCTTTGGAAGAGTGCTTACCAGAAGCCTACAGGGTTCTAATAATAGTGTGTTGATGTAAAAAAAAATATTAACTGAGTTGTTATGGGTATATACCAATTAACTCCCAAGAGGTTTAGTCCCACAATAATCTTATGTGTTCACTAATGTTACTGTATCATATTGTCAGGTTATTAATTTGAAAATGATTATATTTTTCTTGCATTCTAGAAGATTCTTAGAAAACTTTCATGTAGAAGGTTAACTTTCTTTTACAATTTTCCCCCCAAAACCTTTCCCATATTCCTATACTTTACCATGTGATATTTTGAAAAATGTATCTACAGCACAATGCATGTTTGTTTTTAATTTTCACAGCTCAGTCCACTTTTAAGAGATACTGTCTTGAAGAGAACATACAATGTAACATTAAATAATCCAGTTATGATTCGAGTGAGAAGTTCCATTTTTAAAACTGCAACAGGCAGAGAAGACCTTTTTTGTACATCTGATCAACAAAACTCAAAAAAGTGAGTATGGAAGTCTTCTGCTTCTTTGTTTATTGATATAGCTAAGACATTTTATCCTGTGAGGGAGCTTCCATATATCTGCCTCATGTCTTTCCCAATGCTGCCATTTTCTTCCACCATACAAGCATCATCACTACAGGTGGTCCTCGATGTATGGCCACAATTGAGATCAGAACTTCTGTTTTTAAGCAAGTGAGACATGCCCAATTTTATAATCCTTTTTTGCTTTTCGTGAAGTGAATCACTGCAGTTGTTAAGTGAATAATGCAGTTGTTATGGTAATCTGTTTTTTCCCGTTGACTTTGCTTGTCAGAATCTGGCTGGGAAGGTCACAAATGATGATCACATGGCCCTGGATGGGATTTAGCCAATTCGCACCACTTCGGCAGAACCGGTAGCTAATTTTTTGTTGGCCAAGCCCAGAATGGACTTCCGGAAGCGGCATCCACACAGAGAACCCGTTGTTCACATATTTGAGTCCCACCACTGCAGCTGGGATGCTGGAATGTTGCAAAGCTGTGCTGGTTGCCAAGCATCCAAATTTTGACCACATGACTGTGGAGATCCTGCATCAGTTGTAAACATGAGGGCCAGTCATAAGTCATTTTTTTCAGTGTCATTGTAACTTTGAACAGTCACTAAACAAATGATTGTAACTTGAGGTCTGTCTGTATTGTTCTGCATGGATAAGGAAGGATGCTGGCTAATGGTGGAGCAGAAAATGTGATGCTCCAGATAGCACCCTGCTCTCTGTGGTGATTGGGTGGAGGGGGGTAGCTTATGAAGTCCTGTGGTTGCCAGGAGTCAAGATGGACTTGAAGGCATTTTTAAAAAACTTTAAATAAATGGAGGAATAGCTTTTCAGTAACTTACAACTCAAGAAAATACAATTTGCTAATGTGAGAGCAGCATAATAATTTTGCTTTGTAATTATTTAAGGCAAAGATTCTGAAACTATTATATGGAAAAGGAAAATAAAATAATTTTGAAGATTAGTGTTAAAAAGTATCTTCATGCAGTTTTTAAAGATATGTAAGTACAATATCAAAGAAGAAGGAATGAAATGCTCATTCTCAATTGAACATGTTGGAAAACCATGTTAAATGTGCAATCCTTTTTGTTCTGTCTCTTTACAGGCAAAATGAAGCTTTCATATCTGATAATAAGTGATACCACCGAAACTTTTCTTGTAAAGAAAACCTTGATTTAATGTCTTGCATCAACTGCTCAAGAACAAAACACTGACTTTCACTCTTCAGAAATGCAACATCTATTCTGAGAAGATACTTTTTTATGTTTCCAAGCTTTTCTTGATCACAGATCCTACCACATAATTTTTTTCTGCATTCTTGATATGTATCGTTGTATATCAAGAATTAATAAAGAAACCTAAAGGCAATATTCCCATTTAAATGTATTCTTTGAATGTATACATACTGTAGTTTTGGATAGATAGTTATTTTTATTTATTAAATTTATAACAGCACCTAACTCTATTTAGATTGGGTTGAATACCACATTAAATCATATTAAAACAAACGTTAGAGCAATCTGTCTGCCACATCTGTCTCCCTATTGAGTGCCAGAATTGTTTCAGCTGATCGGACTGGCTAGGTGGGCATCCCCTTCCTCCCTCACGCCTCTATGTTCATCCTTCCTCAGGTGGCACGCATGGTGGAAGAGGACAACCATGCCAGATAGAATAAGTGTACCAATCTTCGGTCAAGGATATACAAAAGGAAAAAATAGAAAAAGTACATAAAATACAGGTTTTTAAATGAAGCATTAAACCTTAACTACATAATATAATATTGATCAGTCTTTCCATTATGACAATAAATGAAGTACATATGCAGAGAATGTCATCAATTCAAGATTGTACAGTAGTCAGTTAATGTAATTTTAGTTACATAAGGATTCACAGTAAAAAAATGTTAAGAATGATGTAGAGGACAGGAAGGCCTGGAGGAACGTTGTCCATGGGGTCGCGATGGGTCGGACATGACTTCGCAACTAACAACAACAACATCATTCATATAAGACACTGAGCTTGTCAACCAGAAGGTCAGCAGTTTGAGACCCAAATACTGTGTGATGGTGTTAGTTCCTACCAACCTAGCAGTTCGAAAGCATGCAAATGCAAGTAGATAAATAGTTACCATTTTAGTGAGATGGTAACAGCATTCTGTGTACCTTAGCATATAGTCATGCCGGCCACATAACCATGGAAGCATCTTCAGACAACGCTGGCTCCCTCGGCTAGGAAATGGAGATGAGCACTGCCCTCTAGAATTGGATACAACTGGGCAGGGAAAATCTTTACCTTGATAAGGAAGATGATTAGACCTAGATAATCACATCATTTTGTGACTATGAATCCACTATTATGCCATCAGTGATTTCTCTCTAGACAATGTTTGCAAAATATGATTTAAAAAAAATATTACTTTTCTTTAGGTGAATGTAGAATATATGAGAAATGTTTTTTGTCATTCCCGTTATCATTGGCTGTTGTAGTCTCATGTTATTGCTAGTATAATTAATGGAGTTACATAACATTCAGGGTGCAAGGTAGCCAAAAAGGCAAAGATGGGAAGGGGAAATAGGCAATTGTGAGGAGTAGCAAGGGAGGTAGGCCCTTATCTTGAAACGATCAAGGCTTGGGCAGGGAGGGCCAAAGACCAGAATGGTTTAGATTCAGGTGGATCCTTGGCTAACGATGGGTAGAATTCAGTTAATGATGACAACAGGAAGTTCCAGGATTGCTGTCACTAAGAAATGCGGTCATAGGATCTCAGACTCTATGACTGCATTGCTTAGTGATGGAAATTCAATCCAAATTACCATGTAACTTTAAGATTACCTGCATTCATTTGGAAACCGGTAAGCTTTCTATAGATGATTCAAAGATAATAAAAAATATTTCCATGCTTATTAAATTGTCTACTTTAACATTAAATTCTATTATATGGAATAATTAGAATTTTAGTAACACAAAGAAGGAAAATGAAGCCTGATTTGTCCAATTCTTTTGGCATGGTAGGATCCAGGGTAAAATCAACCAAGACAAAAGTTTTGTAAAGTAGCTCAGAAGGAACATAGAATGTCACGAAGAATTGAACTAGCTGTCAGAATAAGAACATCAGTTTAATTTGTACTAGATTCACAAGACTAGTGCAACTACGTATGGAGAACATACCTGGTTCCATATTTCCAGTTAAAATTATTTCAGAAATAATTTTATTCCTGAAATAATGATTAGGGCACTGGAAGCTAAAACATATGAAGAACAGTTACAGGAATTGGATATGTCTAGCCTAATGAAAAGAAGGACTAAGGGAGACATTATAGCAGCTTTCCAATATTTGAAGGGCTCCTACAAAGATAAGGGGGGAGGTCAAACTATTTCCAAAGCACCAAAAGGCAAGATGAGAAACAATGGATGGAAACTAACTAAGGAGAAATTTCCTAACGGTGAGAGCAATCAACCAAATGGAACAGCTTGCTTTCAAAAGTTGTGGACGCTCCATCACTGGAGGCTTTCAAAACAAGTATCTGGGAAAGACTTTATTGGACTTGGAATTTTCCATTATTGGGTAGATTGACAAAAGCAGTTTCATAGCTTTAGGTGTATTCACATATCAAATTCAATTAAATCTTGAAAGTGTAAATTGGCTCATATCTCTAGGTCAGTGAATAGCCAGTCCAGATTTACCCAATGCAAATGGGTTCCATTGTAGGAATGCCTAAAAGATCTAATATACCTGTGGAAGTAATTGCTCACTATGAAAAATAGGGTATCGCCTTCTTTAAATCAGACACAGCACTGGAGTCACCAGATGCTACATTTAGAATATAAATGAAGACATTTAATTTTGAATGCAAATTGCTACTAGCCTGCATATACAATAATGTGTTCTGGTTCTTCCATTATCGATACTAGTAGAACTAATTACCATGACACTGTTTTGAAGAAAACAGTTTCTAGCACTTAACAAGGTGTTCATAGCAATGCAGATTCATAAGGGATTGACCCCGCAATCTGTTACTGTTGGGCCTTTTCCTCTCCTAGTTTAATGATGAATGAAACTTAATATTTAAATAGGCTCTCAACTGATACGGAAATGAAGACCATTAAAGAAAGACTTGAAATCTGCACAATTTGTATTCTTGAAAGGAGACTCAAAATGGTTTTATGTAGACAATATACAGATGTAAAGTGCTAGTCTTAACAAAGCACAAAAGCTAACTACCAATTAAAAAGGATACTGAATATATCATTACTATATCCAGCAATCAAGTGCCTTAAACTCACTGTACTCCTTTTGATAACTTTTTTTTATCACATACTAATAAAGACTTTGTAGAGCTACTACATCACAATCAATTATGAATCACTCACAGTAATATTGGATGTATGTTGTAGGCAAAATGTGATAGCTTCTATGCATTCACATGCAAATTCCATTTTAATTAATTAAAAACATTTATACGCAACTTACAAATTGAACTATGACAAATATGAAATGTATTTGTCATAGTTCATTTATTTCAAAAATAACCACGTTAAGACATAGAAATGGTTAACATATAAATTACAACAAAGAAAAAATGATATTGAAATTACAGGAAGAAATACTGTATTAATAGATAACATGTCCATGCAAAATTTTAATCAATATTATTCCAGCATGTAAAAAGTAAGTGACATTGTTTTGGAACACCCAAAGAAATGAAATTTACTGAGGATTACTGAGGAACAAAGATAAATTATGAATGGACTATGAAGAGGGGAAGTTTGCGAAGCTATAAAAAAAAATTAAAGCACAAAAGGTGCCTGGACCAGATGGAATTATCAGGTTGTTGTTGTTAGTTGCGAAGTCGTGTCTGACCCATCGTGACCCCATGGACAACGTTCCTCCAGGCCTTCCTGTCCTATACCATCTTCTGGAGTCCATTTAAGCTCATGCCTACTGCTTCAGTGACTCCATCCAGCCACCTCATTCTCTGTCGTCCCCTTTTTCTATTGCCCTCCATCCTTCCCAACATTAGGCTCTTACTAGCCCTCTGCTCTTCCCCAGTACCATATTGGACACCTTCCGACCTGAGGGGCTCATCTTCCAGCATCATATATTTTTGCCTTTTGGTACTGTCCATGGGATTTTCATGGCAAAGATACTGGAGTGGGTTGCTATTTCCTTCTCCAGTGGATCACATTTTGTCAGAACTCTCCTGTCCGTCTTGGGTGGCCCTGCACGGCATAGCTCATAGCTTCATTGAGTTACGCAAGCCCCTTCGCCATGCCAAGGCAGTAATCCATGAAGGAGATACTTATTATAAATATTTTGAAGATGAACTTTTACAACCTTTATAAAACATGATGAACTTTGTCCCAAAGGAAGGAAAGATACTGGAAAATTGAAAGAGGCCAATAGAGCACTATACCTAAGAGGGACAAGATTTGACTTTAACAAGAAACTATAGGCCAATATCCCAAAAGTGCTTTTTCAAGAAGCAATTGGACTTTGTTTCTCCTTGAAGATGTTTCCCTTCTCATCCAAGAAGCTTCTTCAGTTCTGACTGAATGGTGGAGAATGGAAGGATTTATATTCCTTGCAGTCATCTGCTCATTAGCATTCTCTCTGAGAGGCATTGAGGCCACTTGGAGATTTATCTGTTCCCCCAGGGTCATCTGAATAGTGCAAATGGGTGTGGGACCTTCTTGCGATTGCTGAAAGAACTGTGTTGTAAACAGGAGATAGGGGGTGTTGTATCTATTCTCTACCATTCAGTCAGAACTGAAGAAGCTTCTTGGATGAGAAGGGAAACATCTTCAAGGAAAAACAAAGAAAGTCCAATTGCCTCTTGAAAAAGCACCTTTGGGACAACTATGACCTGGATGACTGAGAATCTCCATAGACATGTAGGCCAATATCATTATTGAATAATAACTACAAATTGTTTACAACAATTCTTGCTAATACTGAAAAATAATTTTGCAAGAATGTATTCATGAAGATGAATGTGGGTTTTTACCTAATGGATAAGTAAAGGAAAATGTTAGAAATGTGTTGGATATTTTGGAATATTTGAAGTAATATAATGAAAAATAAGCTGCATCAATTTGACTTAGATGCAGAAAAGACCTTTAATAATTATAACTGGGCTTTCTTGTTAAAAGTTTTGGAAGACGTGAACTTTGGAGATAACTTTATAAAATGGGTAACACTGATTATTTTTTTTTATGGAAATTCCCTAGCCTTTTGGACTTCAGTCAAAACCTCTGCTGTTTAAAAGCAAACAATATACCTTCTAATTTGTGCCAATAAATAGAATCTTTTTCTACTTTAATCTATCAGTAAAAAAAGAATACTCTTTTCTCTAATGCAGGGTTTTAATAGGAATTTCTTTAAGAACAATTACAATTGTTATCAATCTTCAGACTTATATTAAAATGCTGCTACAAATCTTGATCCCTTGCTTTCTTACTGACAAAGTGCATCAAAGCATCCCTTTGGACAATTTGCAAATCTTGAATTCATTCTATACGCTTTATCAATTCTGCCTCTATATCTTTCTCTTCCCAATCCAAACAATTCAGGGACACCTAGTCTACCATGGATGCTCAACCAAAACCCTGTTTCCCTTTCTTCAATCAGGAGATATTCTACTCTTAAAATCCAGAAAAAGAAGAATTGTTATACCAGCAAGTGGAATGGAAGGGAATAGTGTCAACATTATAATTGTTTGAATTGTTAACACCATCCTGTGAAATGGTATAAGAGTTAACTACTGTGTATAATTAGTAGATAATGTTATACTTTCCACAACTCAATTATTTAACTTTTCTAAACTAAGCACACATCTTGAAAACTGACACAAAATCTAGATTCATAACACCCTTCCCAAGGTTATAATTATGAATTACGGCAGGCAGCGCATCATAGCATTTACTGTGCTGGAAAGTGTCATCTTTGAAAAAGGAAAGAAAAACCCCAAACCCACAGACTTGCCCTTGTTTTAACAGTAAAACCAACTCTTTTTTTATTTCAATCACATATTTGTACAGTGACAGTGACATTCTCAAACTGTTTCTTCTATAAAGCTTAATTTGTAAAGTTAGTGCATCATCTAGTTTTGATGACAGGTGATAACATCTATGTAGCACTGGCTTTTCTTTATTGCTAAAACATTTTGTTCTCTAAGGAAATCCTAGTAAGAGTTAGTGGGGGAAAAAAGTTCTGTTGGCCTCATTTGGACTTATGTCTCAGTATATAGGCCTTGAAGTCTGCTATAATGTTATTTTGAAAGCATCAAAATCATACTTAATAAAATACTTATAGAACATACTCAGAATTTTAGAAACATGGCAAGAAAAACAACATAAACACATAAACATACACACATCCATATACAGTCCTTATTTAGTAAGTGCCTCATATAATGACTATTCACAGTTACAATAATAATGAAAAAATACAGGTAGTCCTTGACTTACAACCAGAACTGAGTCCAAAATTTCTGTTGCTAAGTTGTTACAGTAAGTGAGTTCTGCCCTATTTTATAACCTTTCTTGTCACAGTTGTCAAATGAATCATTGCACTTGTTAAATTACTAACATGCTTGTTAAGTGAATCTAGCTTCTCCATTGACTTTGCTTGTCAGAAGGTCACCAATGGTGATCACATGACCCTGGGACACTGCAACCAAGATAAATATGAGTCAGTTGCCAAGCATCTGAATTTTGGTCACATGACCATGGGGATGCTGCAACGGTCATAAGTGTGAAAAACAGTCATAAGTCATGTTTTTCAGTGCCATTTAACTTTGAACGGACAGTAAATGACTGTTGTTAGTTAGGGATTACATGTAAATGTATGAACAATCCTCACATTTACAACATTAACAGGTCTGCAAAGCAAAAGAGAGCTGAAGTAAGAGCATAAGCACAGTCATGATTTCACCTAGAAAATGTTTCACTTAACAACCAAGTTGCCAATCCCAATTGTGGTTGCTAAATGATAACTCCATTTATTTTGCATGAATGGTTATATGATTCAGACATGGTATCAATGGCATGATTGCTTCTTACATGAATTCTTTTTTTTAACTCATATTCCTCCCATCATAGAATCTAGTAAACATGAAAACAAAGGTACAGTTAATTTTTTTAATCAGCTGTGACTGACAAACATTATCATGAAACCAAGTAGCCTAAATTCATGTGGAATTGAGGGAAGAAAATTAAAAAATCTAGAAAGCGTAATTTATTTTAGAAAATTAATATACATGCTGATATTTAGTAATTTTAATCAACCTGGGTAACTGATAAAGTATAAGTTGCAACCGGCCTATTGTCAGCAATATATGGAAAATATTGCTGCCAACAGGCCTGTTGCAATTTATACTTTATCAGTTATCCGGGTTGAATCGAATTGTGGCTTCTGTCTCTGATTTTTCATTATTTTAATTTTATCCGTAATAATTTCTAACCTGGTGATTCAATAGTCCTTGTTTATACATATCTCAATTGTTAAATTAATTATCTAAGATTTTCCAATGTTGAACAATTATTATTTTACCAGCTAAAATTATGTAAATAACTACTCGTATTTTAAACTTAAAATTTGGCCCCACAAATAGATGCAATAACCCTAACTCTGGAAATCATGACATTCTTTGTTAATGATGCTTATCTCTTCAAAAATAATTTCTATCACGTGACCAACACACATGAAAGAAAGCTCCTTTTGGTAGACATAGATAGAAAAGGATGTGCCAATCTGAGTGGTGTCATGCCAGCAATTTATAATCTTTCATTGCACTTATGGTGTTCATAATGCTGCTATTCTGTCTCCTCAAAAACTTTACCAACATCAGGACTGTTATCTTCCTTTTAAATCAAGAAGTGGGTTTTATCTTTCTAATTGCAATAGCAGTCTACATATTTCTGAAATAGTTTCTTTGGTTGTTTGAAATAGTAAAGTATTAAATTCTCAAAATTGTTGTAAAGGTGAATAAATAAAATTCTAACATATGTATTACTCCAGGGGTCACCAATCTTTCTAGGTTGGAGGCCTGTTGGCAAAAGGAGGGACAGGCACCTTTATACGCGCATGCGCACAGGCGTAAATGTGGCTGCATGTGGCTCATTGCAAATGGGGCTGCTAGCACTGGCTCGCAGCTTGGCTAGCGCCGGCACACTGTTTGTGGCTCACCTAGCCCCAGTGAGAGGCTAGTGGCACACCTAGTGCCGGTGAGAGGCTCATGGCTCGTGGCTTGCCTAGTGCCAGTGAGAGGCTCATGGCTCGTGTAGTGCTGGGGATGGGCTCATGACTTGGCTAGCACCGGTACACAGGTTGTGGCTTGACTAGCACCAGCTCGCAGCTTGGCTAGTACCGGCGCAAGGGTTGTGCCGGTGTGATGCTTGCAGCTTGGCTAGTGCCAGCGCAAGGTCAGAGTGTGAGTGCGCGCATATGTGCCTGTGCATTTGCCAGCCACTCACATGGCCCAGTGGCCAAGAGGTCACAGCGCGGTTGGGGACCTCTGTATTACTCAATAGAGATTTAAGTTGATCCCGAAAAATCATGGTGGCTTGTCATCTACTTATTGCTCTATCTGTTCTTTATAGGTTTTTTATTGCTGTAAGAATATTTCATTCAACGGAGGTTATATATATATTGAGCCATACCATATTGGTTATCCTGTTCTATATATGCTACAAAAGGAGTTTGTACAAACAATTTACAATTGCCTTGTTTAGCAATTGCCTTGGCAATGATTATTCACATTATGACAGTGAGGGAAAAAGTAACTTTGTGACCAATGCCCACATTTATAACCTCGGCAGCATTTCTCTCTCTCTCAGTCATATGTTCACCAGTACAGTCAGTATGCATTGTCCTGTGCCTGACCTGATTTTTTTCTCTCCTTCCTGCTTGAAGAGTGGAGAAATCGCTTGAACAAACGTTCTCTTCCTAAACTGCTTTTCTCTGTGGGGCAGCTTGTCCCTAAAAAGTGCTAATTGCAAGTTAATAAGCTCAGTTCTGTGGTTTCCAATGGAAAAAACAGCAGTTTGAGCCACGAGTATATGTGCCAAAAATAAAAATGGCTTCCTAAACTGATTTCAGATTATAATTACTGTTGTAGGAGTAAAAGACTTTTCATTTTTCTCTCTTCCTCACTGCATTAATTGCCTTTCATTTGTTCATTGTTGTCTCACACCACTAACAACAGTGGTTCTGCTGAATTAAAATTTAGATTAAATGTATAGGATTTAAATCCTTGTCATTGCTTAGAGCAGTGATGGTGAACCTTTTAGAGACCGAGTGCCCAAAAACTGGCCCCACCCTCACTCCACCCCACTGCCCCATCCCTGCTCCTGCCCCGCCTCCACCCTGTCCCCCACCCCACCTGCCCGCAGGGCCACTCACCGCCCCCAGGGCCCCCCGCAGATCACCCAGTCAGCCCAGCAGCGCCATGGCAGCCATGCCCTCTGCCCGCGTCCCGCAGCACCAACTGTGCGGGATGGGGCGTGAGGGCAGAGTCTTGTCTACGCTGCCTGGCTGCCATGTCCTTGGCTGTGTTGCTCCTTGTGGGCCACACTCGGGGGCGACTCTCCTCCAGAGGGGCTGCTGGTGAGGAGGGGGTCGTGGGGGGAGGTGAGGCTGGGGCAACGGCACGTGTGCCTACAGAGAGAGCTCCGAGTGCCGCTTTTGGCACACGTGCCATAGGTTCACCACCACTGGATTAGAGTAATTGTTTTCCACCCTGGAATGATCACCAAATGAGATGGGAAAAACATTTGTGGGGGTGGATGGGAGTAAACTTTGCTTTGACCTCCCCTTCTTTTGCTCAGTTTTTTGGTAGAGATTTTCAGAAGCTCCTCTTCAGTTGCCCAGTGTTTGAAATTTGGTCAATCCACAGACATTTGGATCAGCATTTATGAGCATCTAATCTTTTGCTCACGGGACAGAAAGTCTGACTGGTTGTTTTCAGGGTAATTCTTCAGCCGTTATCTTTGGCCTCCAGGATTAGAGTGTTGCTGGATAAGCATGCAGCTAAGAGATATAAAACATATCCATTAGGAATATAGCCCACAAATTAATTTGGACCTGATGATTTACAGGGATATATAGGAGAAGTAAAATTTGCATCCATTGTAATATGTTTTCTACTACAAACCTGCCATCAATAAAAAAAAATCAGACCTAATATGTTTTTCAAGTCATTGGGATTTATCCCTGTTCCATTAGAATCAGGCCATTATGTTCCTCAACACACAGAAGAAAAGAATAAAGGGTGCCATTTTTCTTTGACTAAGTGGATTGGTTCTGAATATATTTATATATGTATATATTTCATCTGGTCATGTTTCCTGTCTGGTCTACCTGCATTGAGGCTCAAAGCATACAAACTTGCATTTAAAAGAGGAAGGGAAGATTAGGCTTTCAGTAATTATGATAACAAAGATGGAACAGGAAAAAGCTTCTCTAATAACGATTCTTTAAGGTAAACAATGCCTCGAAATTCTTTGAAGAGTTTCATCTCTTGAAACCCTGACACTTTACTTAGCAAGGAGATTAAGAGGGGCTTCTTCATTGCTGGACTAACATTAAAGGCACGGAAGCATGAACAAAAATAAATATGTGGTGCAGTCATCTCTTGGGAAGATGATTGGAGATCATATGCACAAGTTTGTCTCTACTTTAAGTGAGGACACTAGAGGAATAAGTCTTCTCTCCACTGCAACACTTTTTCCTTTCACCTTGCAGCAAAGAAATCCTTTTCATGATGAACATTTGATAAAGTACATCATAACCTACTACTTGACAAGATAGAAAAATGTGGGGTAGACATCATCACCACCAGATGGATCCATAGCTGGGTGACCGGCCGTACTCAGCAAGTGGTCCTCAATGGAACCGCATCTACATGGAGGGAAGTGTGTAGTGGGGTGCCCCAAGGCTCTGTTCTGGGCCCAGTGCTCTTCAACATCTTCATCAACGATTTGGAGGAGGGGATAGATGGGGAACTCATCAAATTTGCAGACGACATCAAGCTGGCAGGAATAGCTAACACTCCAGAAGACAGGCTTAAGATACAGAAGGATCTGGACAGACTTGAACACTGGGCACTATCTAACAAAATGAAATTCAATGATGAAAAAAGCAAGGTTCTACATTTAGGCAAGAAAAACCAAATGCACAAGTACAGCATAGGTGGCACCTTGCTCAATAGTAGTAACTGTGAGAGGGACCTCAGAATCCTAGTGGACAATCAGCTAAATATGAGCCAGCAGTGTGCCGCAGCTGCCAAAAAGGCCAACACAGTGCTAGGCTGCATTAACAGAGGGATAGAATCAAGATCACGCGAAGGATTAATACCACTTTACAATGCCTTGGTAAGGCCACACTTGGAATACTGCATCCAGTTTTGGTCACCACGATGTAAAAAAGATGTTGAGACTCTAGAAAGAGTACAGAGAAGAGCAACAAAGATGATTAGGGGACTGGCAGCTAAAGCATATAAGGAACGGCTGCTGGAATTGGGTATGTCTAGTTTAATGAAGAGAAGGATGAGGGGGGACATGATAGCAGTGTTCCAATATCTCAGGGGCTGCCATAAAGAAGAGGGAGTCAAGCTATTTTCCAAAGCTCCTGAAGGCAGGACAAGAAGCAACGGGTGGAAACTAAGCAAGCAGAGAAGCAATCTAGAACTAAGGAGAAACTTCCTGACAGTTAGAACAATTAACCAGTGGAAAAACCTGCCTCCAGAAGCGGTGAATGCTCCAACACTGGAAGATTTTAAGAAGAGACTGGACAGCCATTTGTCCGAAATGGTATAAGGTTTCCTGCCTGAGCAGGGGGTTGGACTAGATGACCTTCAAGGTCCCTTCCAACTTTATTATTATTATTATTATTATTATTATTATTATTATTATTATTATTATTATTATTATTATTATTATTATTATTATTATTATTATTATTATTATTATTATTATTATTATTACACTGAGAAGAAGAGGTTGAGCAGTTTTACAGCTGTCATTTTACTCTACTGACAACTTGCCGGAGTGAAGGTGTGAGTTCAAAGTGTCAGCTATCCAAATCATATTACTCTTCCTCATCTAGACTTCCATTTGGTCCCTGCCCATCTCTGAACTGCATAAGGCTGTCTAATGGACACTTAGACTAATTATATCTAACCTATTATCCTAGCTTAAGTACCAATTTTATCCACCCATTAGTGATAGGAAGGGTGACATTTTATGCTTTGTGTGAGAGAAGGCATTTTGCCAATTTTCTATTAGAATTCTTGGGATCTCATATACTCAAACATATGTACACATCTGGATATGAGGACATAATAAAGAATTTTGGCATTCAAGCAGTTTATAACAATAGTACAGAGGGTCACCTTGATTTCTATTTATACATATAAAGCTGAAGCATATACAAGATGCATAAGATGGCATTAATTTGCAGATACGTGGTTTTATGTTTATATGCAAAGCTGTAACAATGTACATGTAGTCTTCAACTTACAATAGTTCATTTAGTGACGGTTCAGTGATAATTGCAGTATCCAGAGGTCATGTGATCAGCTTTTGTGATCTTCTGAAAAGCAAAGTCAATGGGGAAGCTAGTTTCACTTAGCAACAATGTTATTAACAACTGCAATGATTCACTTCTGTGGCAAGAAAGGTCGTAAAATGTGGCAAAACTCACTTAAGAAATATTTCAGTTAGCAACATAAATTTGGGCTTCAGTTGTGGTCGTAAGATTTATATCTATTTGTGACTCACAGTAGTTGAATTTTTCTGGGAAGATGCAGTGGGAAAGACTGTGATAGAATTGGGAAGGGACGTGTCATGTGATAGTGGCAAAAACAGAATAAAACAGTATTTCTTTTAAGTTATTTATTTATTTATTTATTTATTTTATTTATTGAATTTATATCCCGCCCTTCTCCTTGTGGACTCAGGGCGGCTGACAATCAATTAAAAATACACCAATAACAATTACAAAATTAAAATTAGTTAAGAGGAAATATTTAAATGTTGTCTAATTAAAATATGATTAAAACCCCTCTAAAAATTGCCCTAGGCCAGTCCCGCTTGTTGGAATAGCCATGTCTTAAGGGCGCGGTGGAAGGAAGGGAGATCAGGGATCACCCTGATCTCTGGGGGCAGCTCATTCCAGAGTGTGGGAGCTCCCACAGAGAAGGCCCTCCCCCTTGGGGTCGCCAGCCGGCACTGTCTGGCCGACGGCACCCTGAGGAGACCCACCCTGTGGGAGCGTACAGGCCGATGGGAGGTAATCTGTGGCAGAAGGCGGTCTCGAAGGTATCCCGGTCCGCTGCCATGGAGCGCCTTAAAGATGATAGTCAGCACCTTGAAGCGCA